TCAGACTTTGCGGATAGAGCGATCCGCCAACGTCCGCGGTTGCGTTGCGGCCAGCGACACGTAACCCTCGAATGCGCCCGTCCACGCCCTCCCTCACGTGCGGCGCTCGATTGGCTGGTACCGCAACGCGACCGCGGACGCTAGCGAATCGCTCGGTTCGCAAAGTATGACATCGGCCTAACATCCTGAACATACCCTTACCCTCCTTTCAGTTTATTTTACTCTTGTTTTGACTCGACCTTCATTAAGCAGCCGCAAAATCGCTGTTCGGAAGTATATGGAATGATAGAAACTTTAATACCTTTAGAAGTTTCTCGAAATCAAATGAATTGGTATTCACTTGTTTTCGCCTTTTGCAAGAGCTGTCCCCAGGATTGGCCCCTTTAATACAACCTACTACGTATTTCTCGAGAAAATGTGATTGAATGATACTGTTTTTTTTCTCGCAAACTTACCGCCTTGTTCGTATTCTTCCAACCATTCGGCAATCTTTCTCCAACCGTCGAAGTGTACGTGAATGAAAATGCCGATTGACAACACAGGAAATCTAAAATGCTTCGTTTTGGATGTACAATTCTTTGTCTGAAAAAGCTCTTAAATTTTTATGGCGCAATTCTGTTTCGAAGATATTCTATGCGGTACCAACCGGGGATGGTGTAGTAACAACTGATCATTTATTATGTGCATGGTCCAAAGTCGGAAGGTGTAGTGGCAAGTGGCACGCTTACCACGCGAGCGGTCCGGGGATCAAATCCTGGGTCGTGAGTCGCCCGGGCCAACCAAGCCTTCCATCCCTCCGGGGTCGGTTAATTGGTACCAGACTTGTCTGGGAGGATAAAAACACTGACTTGTACATCGGCTGGCCCCGCAAGTCATTGTATAGGCCACATCGCATTCAAACGCCACTACGAATGTACAAATGGAAGTAGAATGCGTGCCGCATCCCAAAAAGGGATTGATCAACGGCAAATGCTTTATCCTTTATTTTTATGGTCTAAAGTCAGTGCTGGGAATGAGTTTCGACAAGGCCCTACTGCTTCTATCCGTTTAGTGGAACCTGACCCATCCAGGAGAATGAAAAACTCCACAGTACTGATTTTAGTCTATTTACTGGACCCCAGATAGCATAAAATGAGTCTGCAACATGGAAATATATGCACCTGCGGAAGCGGCAGCCAAACAGCAAAGAGGGGCGGTCTGCTTTTCGCGACAGAGGATGCCCTGGGCGCAGCGTTCAGATCCAAAAACCTCCCTGGCTCAGAACCGCTCCACCTCCATGTAGGGTTTTGCCATACCGTTATGGTTGAGTACGATTTTCATTTCGCAAGTTCTTTGCAATTGGAACCGATGTTTTTTATTCTTGTCGTCTCTTGTATTCTGTTTGAGATCCCTAGTCTAGATGGCTGTTCTTCAACCCACAAACTCGTCCGTTGTCAGTGAACGGAACCAGGCCCACTTCCCGAGTTTTTGACATTTTGCGCCATCGTTGCGCGATCCTGCTTTCATATATGGTTAGCATTTTAATTATCGTACTCGCTGCCTTTGGATCGGTGCTGATGTGCTTTTCAAAGGTGAGCTTTAACACAAGTGGGTCAGGGAGGAATGGAATTCGTTACGGGTAGCACTACCATTTCACCCCAGTCACGGTAGTTAAATCCTGGTCAGGCCAGCAAGGACTTTCTTCTCTGCAGTCACGCGGTTGGTGCTATATCCGTCTTGGAGAATGATTACCTGACTTTCCCGCCGCTCTTTCCCCATTGGTTACTGTGTAAACATCATGCCCATTCAGGTACCCCTCCGACTTCAAATAGGAAGTGGCACGGTGTGTCTCAGAATGGGTCAATAGACGTCGATAATTGAATTGTCGTGTTTCTACTTATTCGCAAAATGTTGGGAAGTTCACCATTTTGCGGAGTAGTTCAGACCGTACCTTATAACTCCTGAACTAGAACGCTGATCAGTCTCTGAACGAGTGCGTCACGGTTGATGTCGTCGAGTTCGATGAGACTTTCCAAAGCCGTGGCTCTCATCTCGAGAATCTCCAACACTTCTGCATTAGGACGGCCAGGCTCCACACCTTCTGAAAACTGACAGTAGTGGTTTATTTTTTTAGCATTTGCCCCAGTTTTAGGAGTCAGAGAACAATGTTGGAGGCTATTTCGATCATGTAGAAACTGCTCAATCTGGTAGTGGTGGAGCGACGCAAGAACTGCTACAGTATGCGTAATTTACAAAAAAGGCTTTACAAAAGTTCGGAGAAACTCGCTTGGGAAGCTTTACAGTTTCATTTGTGGAAGGACTGCTAAAGTAATACTTGATCTCTCACAAGTGAAGGTCGCTTATGTCAGTCTGGCCCCTCAAAATGAGGTCTACACTTTTACCCAACCCTTCAAAAAGCGGCTACAAGGCTTCTGTCAACCAAAGGGCGAGAGCGTAGCTGGAAAAGGGTCCGAGAAACGGGACTGTGCCAATTGGGACTAAGCTTTTTGAAGAAGATAAAGAGGAGATGCTGTGATAGTGTGTATTGTGAGAGCTCCGAGACATCACTACAAAACGCTGAACAGCCAAGGATTACGGTTGACAGATGTCCTGAAACCTCGAGAAGCGAGAAAGTGTCGGGTGCAGACCATGCACCACAAGTGACGACGGCCTTCACAAAATGTTAATGTTTTCTGCCAATGAAATGATTAGCCTGTTGCAGTTGTATTCTATCGATTGTCACTAATTACAACTATCATTTACCAGAAATCAGCTATCACTATGAACAACTTCTAACCAGATTTACTTGGAGGCCGTCGTCAGTTGTGGTGTTTGGTCTGCACCCGACACTTCTCGCTTTTTGAAAGGGATTATGAGCTCCCTGGGACGTGAGGTGAAGGTCTTTTAGACAATTTGTCGTGAAGATCAAAAAAGCAAACTTTTTCCAGAAGTCGATCCTACGATCTCTTGCTTGTGACCGGGCCGCTACCGCTGCATTTTTCGGTTTCATGATTAACTTAAATTTGGAGAAACTGGCTTAGGAAGGTGGAAGTATTGAACTCAACGTCTTGAGGCTCATATAAAAATGTACACCTTATTTCAATTGGCCGGGTGTATCCGAACCTTTTCTGTTTAGTCATTAAAATTAGAAACATTTGAAAATCAAAATAATGACAGCTAACCGAGGAATTTGTTCCACCATGTTGCCAGCTTTAACGCGTCTTCTGTTTTGTCTGCTTCATTGACCATAGCGATGTAGGAATGGTGAGCAAGTGTATCATTTGTCTGGAAAACGACAACATAGTTCAAATTCAGATGGCAATTTCTGTGATGTTTTTGATAGAGTTCTAGAATCGGTGCTAACTTAGTTGGGGGGGGGGGCACGCGGCGGCGCGGCGCTCTGCTCACCTGGCTCTCTCGAGCGAGATAGTGTGAAACGAACATTCCAGCTTTTCACGCATGTCAAGTGACTGCCCCCACCCCCCCCTAACTGCCCAGTCCTCCTGGCTCACGTTCCAAAGTTACGCAAAGGTTAGCAGCGAGCAAGAGCGCCGCGCGCGCGTGTCCCACCGAAGTAGGTTAGACCTAATGATATCTTGTTATAGGCCAGCTCCTTCTATTCCAATCCATTCCAATCTTGAAGCGATTTATAGCTCGGGTTTTTCATATGTTCGCATTTGCTTTTCAAAATTCCTCGAAGACAATGGAAAATAAATAGTTATGTGAGCCTTTCACGTCTACAGTCGCCAGCCTACGGCTCTGAGTACTCGACAAATATTATGACAGTAATGCACCAGTTTCTAATTTCAAGCCCCCTTTCCAAGTACCCAAATAGATATAACGTCTTCAATATCGCTGCTCCGATTTACCCCCGGGTTTTCCTCAACTGGACGAGATCCAGCACCAAAATTAATGTGAGCACCCCCCACTACCGTACGTTGAACCTAAAGCCCAACAGATAACTTTCCGCTTGTGTCACAAGCAGGTGAGTATTGGGTTAGGTCTGCTTGTGTGGAAACATGTAATTTGAGGCGCTCTAGGGTGTCCCCCAAGAGGCCCATCGCGGCGAAGGAAGAGACGCAGATGCGGCAAAGGACGAGTCGCAGCGCGTGCTGTGCGATATGAGACGTAGTATGGTACACTCTATTTAACCTGACGCCTAACCGCTACAGTATGCGCTGCGACTCGTCCTTTGCCGCGTCTGCGTCTCTTCCTTCGCCGCGCGACGGGCCTCTTGGGGCACCCGCGCAGTGGATGCAATATATTTAATAGAAAGAGGCTTCTTGAATGGAATACTTTTACTTTTGTGATGTTACTCTAACAAGGAGGGTCTTTCAGACAAGCCACGCTTTTCCAAAACGGTTTCATGTATATTGTAGGGACCACAAAACCATGTTTCAGTGAGTGAGTGGTCGGTGACCGATTTCAATAGTACCAAAAAAGTAATGAATGTTGCTCTCAAAGGTTCGATCGCCAGCGACGAAAAAATTTTGCATTCAGTTGGCGCTACTTGTTGGTCCTTCAATATTGGTCGCTAACTATGAGATGACATCTGATTTTGACATTTAACACCATTCGGCACCAACCGGTAGGCGAAAACACCAATGCAAAACTTAGTCGCCATGGGGCAATGAACCATTGACAGTACCTTGCACGTCTTTTTTGGTGCTGCTGAAACCGTTCAACGAAATATGGTTATGTGCTTTCTACATGGGTGTCTGCAATATGCGAGGAACTATTTTTGAAAAAGCACGGCTTGCCCTGAAAGACCTCCCCCTCCTTGTAAGTTCCCTGGGAACTTGGTGTTTGGTGATTCAATAACCGCGCATACTGGGGACTATTTTTAATGCCTGATTTGAAACGGCATTTTTTACTTAAATTTTGAATAGGATGCCCTTTTTCATTTTTTTTTCGTCGACATTTCATAATGGCCAAGTTGCAAACACACATTTCCACTTCCAAGTCACCGATCTTTTGATATCCTCCCGGAGGAAGATGTATGAATTCCAGCTCAATTCAGTAGAAGCGTAATAATAAATAATGAGGTAAATCGGGTAAAAGCGTAAATATAAGCTGTTCGAGCCGTTCTATTCTTGAAGTGCTTAGGCATTCGATCACTGAAGTCATTCTACAGTGTACACAATATTTCTCAAGTGCATGGCGCATACTAGAAACAAAGATCCGCGTGGAAACAAGCGCTTTCCCCTTCTGGTACGCTTTTGGTGGAAATAAACACATCCGCTGATTTCAATTTTACAGATGAACGTATTTTGGTCAGGGATACGTGTTAGCCAGGAAAGCAAGTTCATGTGAAGCATTTTAAGCTTTGCGGTCCTATCTACAGCTCTGAAACGGTTAGGTTGGGTTTAATTATTTTAAAAATTAGGTCTTAATTGAACGTTTGCTAACAAAGCTTTTATTTTCCTTGGTCCCTTGTTTTTCGTCTATTTCAAACTGCCCATTAGTACTTCTTCAATGATTACAGTAGCCTGTTTTTGAGAGTTCGATTTGGTGTCAAAAGCGTCATATGGTTTGGTTTAAGTATTCGATATTTATATTCTAATGAATTCTGGTTGATCCCACAAACTTGACACCAGAAAAATTTTTCGGACACGCCATGCATCCTTCTTGAACTCATAATTGTTCAGTTGGCGGATTATTTGAGATGGTTGACGATTGCAACGTAATGAATGTTAAATGCAATGATTACGATAGATTCAAGAAGGGTTTATAGGAGACTGGTGGTTGCTCATTGGTACGGCAGTAGCGAAAAAAGCGAGAAATCCGTCGAGAAAAACGCAAAGCGGGACCCCCTTTTTTGGCCATTAGTTTCCACTCATGAAACAGGTAACAGCTTAGAAAGCGGATTTATGCGCAGTAGTTTTTGGTGACAGCATGCCAATCCATGCTACAGTCGAGTTGCTTTAGTTGTGCCGCTGCTGGCAACGCAGCTCGTCCAAATCACCAACTAAACCAGTGGGCGGATCGCTTTTGGGGGAGTGCTTTCGAAGTCCTGCTCAGCAACCAGCGAACCTTGCGTCGTGAAAGCGCTACACCTCGCTTCCCCTGGCAGCCAAGTAACTGATTCGTGTGGTGTATATGCTTCCGCGATGCGCTCCCACTTTATCGTAATCGCTGCCTTTAAGTAAAAGTTTGCGCTCTCAGGTCATATTTTGATGTCATTCAACCTACATAGAGTGATGAAAAGGTTGACAATTTTGAAGGAAACCGATCGTTTATGTGGGTTATTATCATGTCCTTACAGTAGTGACACTACTTACCACTGCGCTAGTTTCATTCTTTCAGCTAGGTCAGTAAAAGGATAAGGAACTTGGTGACACGGAGTTGCCTGCAATTTTTATTATGACCCCTTTTTACCAGATAGATTTGTGTGGCCTTTTCAGTTCAGGATTATTGGAGTTG